CAGAATCCTCCATTATTTATTCCTACTTCTACTCCATAATCTGAGTACAATTCTTAGACTTTAATTTCAGACACACAGTGTACACATTTGAGTTCTACACTGTGCTCATTTCAAATGGTGTTGTTGAATGTGAGTTTTTAAGTGTTTACATGTATTTTAAATGTTCCTCTAATCCCAAATAAAAGCTCTCTTGTTTCATTTTCCTTTTACGTAAAGGAATACAAACCAGACACACTACTTTTGAATGCTGATTTAACTAAATATAAACTGTGCATGTTGGCACCATAATTCATGATCACTGAGTGTCCTGGGCCTATCATTTTATGCTTTATTTTATCATAAATCATTCATCCATCCCTATCCCACTGAGCATGCATACTAATATTTATTAGGCCAGGAACAAATGGATACAGCTTCAGGGTCAAACATTGGGTTGTTGCTGAACCCTCCTTTCAGTAATACTAATGCGTTAGATTATTAGACAGGAATTGATAGAAGAGGGACGCTCAGCTAGAGAGTTCTTTACTTATTGCTTGATTTTCCTATTAAGTTCAGTACAAATTTCCACCTGAACTCTGTAGCTGTTAGCTCCTTGATGGAACCTGATTACATGCCTTCAGTAACCTCAAAAGGACCTGACCAAAGTACGCAGTTTTGCAGGAAAAGTTCAAAGTCAGGTGTTAACCAATTAACCTATCATAGAAGCTTTGGAAACAAGCCTATTCCTGGCTTCAAATTACACTTTGTGCAGGTAGAATGAGCCAAGACCAACACACTCAGTGATTACTCCCTTCCTCATCTACAGGAATTGAACCCAACTGTGGCTCAAAATCGCATTCAGTTGGCATAGGGTACATCAGCAGATATTAGGAATCTAACTCCATATCTCCTTAGTCAGTAGAGTTGTTGCTAACCAGATAAACATGTCTAGATATCAGGGGAGAATAATTATTTTTTCTCAATGAATTTTATTTTTAAAATCAGGAATGTCAGTGTCAGAAAATAACACTTTTTCTAATTCTATGTTAAATGAAGGTAGCATGAAATGTGTGTTACATGGAAGGTCAGCACTAATTCTTTAAAGTTATATTATGTTTAACTATTGACAAAGTTTTTTGATGAAAACAAAGAGGTTGGTGAAGATGTTTCAGAGATAGTAGGAACTGCAGATGCTGGAGAATCTGAGATAACCAGGTGTAGAGCTGGATGAACACAGCAGGCCAAGCAGCATCAGAGGAGCAGGAAAGCTGACGTTTCGGGCCTAGACCCTTTTTCTGAAGAAGGGTCTAGGCC